CTCTCTCTCTCTCTCTCTCTCTCTCTCTCTCTCTCTCTCTCTCTCATGGGACTTGCCGGAGGGCCGTGGGAGGGCCGCATTTATATAGAGCAGGGAGGGCTGCTCGAGGGCCGGATTAAACCGGGCCGCGGGCCGCAAATGGCCCGCGGGCCGGACTTTGGACATGTCTGGTATAGGGCTTCCTGCCTGAGTAGGGGGTTGGACTAGATGACCTCCAAGGTCCCTTCCATCATCATCATCATCATCAACTGTTTCTTAGTACTAGTTGCTGAGAATATATAAAAGAAAACAGCTGATGCCTTAATACATTTTAAAATGCCCAGAGCTATTCAGATGGCCATGCAGGTTGAAAAAAACCACGCTGGACCAAGTGTCCTTTGATCAAATTAACCATATGACTTAGATGAGGGAATTGAAGGAGAACTCATCAGATTTGCAGATGATACTAAACTGGCAAGAACAGCCAACACCCCAGAAGACAAACTCAGGATTCAAAAAGATTTTGACAAACTGGAACAATGGGTCCTATCCAATAAAATGAATTTTAATGTGGAGAAAAACAAAGTTTTACATTTAGGCAGGAAAAAACAAAGATATAAGTACAGATTAGGCGAGACCTGGCTCAAAAACAGTAACTGTGAGAAGGACCTTGGAGTCCTAGTGAATGATCAATTGAATATGAGCCAGCAGCAGCCAAAAAAGATAATACAATCCTGGGATGTATAAACAGAGGCATAGAATCAATGATAGCAGTATTCTAGTATTTGAGGGGCTGCCACAAAGAAGAGGGGATCAAATTATGCTCCAAGGCACCAGAGGGTCTATACATATGTTGTATATAATATGTTTAAATGTGTGTTATGTATGTGTACACTTTGAGAGCAAGCACCTAAATTTCATTTTTAATGTGTGCCATTGTGCCCACAGTAAAAAAAAATGACAATAAAGGTTATCTATTATCTATTATCTGTTGTGGGTGCTTCATCACTGGAGGTTTTTAAGAAGAGACTGGACAGCCACTTGTCTCGGATTGTATAGGGTCCCCAGCTTGAGTTGAGGGTTGGACTAGACGGCCTCCAAGGTCCCTTCCAACTCTGTTCTTTTGTTATTATATAACTTTTAATGACCATCTGAATGTTACATATATAAATGACACTTGTACTTACTAGATTTTTCAATAACACAAGGCAGTCAACATACATAATATTACTTCCTCCTATTTTCCCCACAATAAGTCTGTAAATTGAGTTGGACTGAGAGAAAATGACTGGCTCAAAGTCACTCAGCTGGTCGGGCCTAAGGCAGGACTAGAATTCATAGACACTTGGTTTCTAGGCCTGGATCTTCGATAACACATCAAACTGATTCTCTTTTATTTATATAAAATAAATATATGACTAAATAGCAGTGTGCACTAGAGCAAGTGCTCAATGTGTCTGTGTATATACATAAATATACACACACACATTGAGCACTTGGTTTAGTGTGCACTATTTATTCATATATTTATTCATATATTTATTTCATTTTATATATATATATATATATACCTTGCATTTTAAAGAACATATTGTTTTCAGAAAATATTTCAAACTTACCAGTTTTCATTTTAAAAACTATTTTAAAACATAGAAAGAATATATTGTCTAAGTGAATCTTGTAGCAAGAAGCAACCTAAATTATGTAAGGTTGAACAGAGATTAAATTGGCATACTAACTGATTGCAAGTTAATATATGATGACAAACATTTATTTATGTATTTGTTTTTCACTTATTTGATTGGACTTCTTTCTTTATGATGAACCTCAAAGCCAAATGATAGCAAAGGAATAAGGAAATTAAAAAAGTCCCACTGTAAACAACCAGTGCCATCAATAGTTCTAAAGTGATTTTATAAATATTAATACAAACCATAATTTGCTTTTTAAAATAATTCATCTAAAATTGAAATTCAATCTGATAATAAATCAGCCACAGTGGCTGTTTATTGCATAGTTTTTTGGTTCTTTTTTTTTACTTTTTGCATATATTAATATTTAAAAACAGCATCCTTATTGTGCCTTTCTTGAACAAAATGTACTCTTTATTGACTCTTTTATAAAGCCACTTTTGTGTTCATACATGTGTAAAAATGTAAACCCCAACTATCAATGAAATATCTTTAGACTTATAAAATCAAACAAAAGAGAAACCAAACCTGAAAAAAAAATCCTTTTTTCCAAAAAGGATCAAGGTGAAAAACAAAGTCCTGCTTAGAAATCTGTCTTCTTTCCTGCCTACAATCCACCTCCTCACTGGCAACCATCCAGAAGCCAAAATATGTTTTTTAAACCTGTGTTTCTCAACCTTGGAAGGTTTAAGATGTGTGGACTTCAGCATGGGAATTCTGAGAGTTCAAGTCCACACATCTTAAAGCAGCCAAGGTTGAGAAACACAGTTCTAAAGGGACAGCTGGTGGTAGTGATTTCCCAGTAGTAGCCTTGGCATCACTTCTCTGTCAGGAAAAGCTAAGATGGATTTTTCTATGTGCATATTTTACACTTTACTGCCCAGATCAGAGTTCTGACTTTTCTATCATGCTGTCCAACTTTTATACCATAGAGCATTCTCTTGGACGCAGGAATTTTCATAGAAAACAAGCGCAGGGATGTTCCCCCTTTCCAGCCCAGCAGATCTAGCATCAAGTAATAGATTTCATTGCAAGTATGTTAAGCATCTTTTAGGCTTCTAGTATCTCAATATATTCTTCACTTTCCTAAATATTAAAAGGCAATCTTGCTTAAAATCATTGTCACAACATTTGGTAACAGGATTTAAAATAGTTACTTTGCATATGAAAATCATTTCTGTCAAATATTATAGAAGCATAGCTCTATCATGCATTCACCAATGCAGCCATCCCAGCATGCAGAGCTACATATTGAAAGCAGATAGGAAAGACCCCAGGTAAAGTTCATTTATTTCAATGATGCTTAAGCAAATGCCTCTCAATATTCATAATTTTCCATTTCATCATTTCAGACTACTGACCAGCAGACCCAACAATAAAGAATTCCTAAGGAATAGATTCAGATTGGCCCTATTAAGTGTTTTTGCAGTAACTAGCTAGATACTATGGAAGTTATTTGTTTCTATAGATTCTGTGAAATATGTATCTTAGTATATTGCAAATTTAGATTTTATGGTTTTTAGTATGTAAAATCTGAAAGTTTTTAGTTTAAACAATCTGAATAATCTGCCAATTGTTGACCGGATGAATTATAACTATATCAATACCAATAGCACTTAGACTTATATACCACTTCCCAGTGCTTTATAGCCCTCTCTAAGCAGTTTACAGAGTCAGCATATTGCCTCCAACAATCTAGGTCCTCATCTTATTGACCTTGGAAGGATGGAAGGCTGAGTCAACCTTGAGCAGTAAGAATCGAACTGCTGACAGTCAGCAGAAGTAGCCTGTAATACTGCATTGTAACTGCATTAGAATAGAATAGAATAGAATAGAATAGAATAGAATAGAATAGAATAGAATAGAATAGAATAGAATATAGAATAGAATAGAATAGAATCTGGAAGAGACCTTGGAGGTCTTCTATCTAGTCTAGCTCCCTGCTCAAGCAGGAGAAACTATACCATTTCGGACAAATGGCTGTCCAGTCTCTTCTTTAAAACTTCCAGTGTTGGAGCATTCACAACTTCTGGCGGCAGGTTGTTCCACTGGTTAATTGTTCTAACTGTCAGGAAATTTCTCCTTAGTTCTAGATTGCTTCTCTCTTTAATTAGTTTCCACCCCTTGCTTCTTGTCCTGCCTTCAGGAGCTTTGGAGAATAGCTTGACTCCCTCTATGCAGGAGTTTAGAGCTCTCATAGATGCACCAAGTTCAAATAATGCTAACTAACAATCATGCATCTACAGAGGAAGCTGCGTTCTTCCAAGAATTAAGGCATTTTCCCCATTAACTTTTCAATTTATGTTCTAAGTCTATGTAATACTGGTAAGAGTTCTGCAAACCAAATTTCAGAACATCACTCACAGAACATTATAAATACAAACTATCCTAAGGAATTGTATATAACAATCTCTATAGAATCAACAAATTGTTATAATTAAATCATTTCTTATGAAAGTACATACATGCAGCTTTGGTTGCCTTGTTTTTGGGCCAAACCATACTTTTATCAGCCAAGCAATGGTATAATTTTCCTTAAAATAAATATGTCAACCCTGGAAACAGTCTCTGCTTTCCCCTCATTTGATTACTTTTACTATATACTATTCACAGTCTTCTTTTGGAGCGAGTCCAAAAAAAATTCAGAGTAACATATATTTTAGGTTACTTACGATTGGTGAACACTACAGTTGTAAAATACAAAATCCACAGATGCAAACTTCTTCCCTGTCTCTTTGGACTTAAGATAGAGCTTTACCACTCGCTTATCACCTAGAAGAAAGCAAGCATACAGATCAGAAATCAACAATTTGGTGACTGGCATGGACATCTGTAAAAATAAAGACTTCTTAATTTGACCAGGTTGGAATAAATAGTTCTGACTGAATTAAGAAATAGTCTCAGTGAATACCAATGACATAAGAAAACATTAATCATGAAAGAACATGATCCATGTAAACCACTTTTCTTCTTTCTAGATAGCTTTAATGATTTAGAGAGTAAGTAATCTTGCTTAGTACAAAAATAAAAAAAGCTGATGAAAGACTATGATAATAGATCTTTAACTGCCTACTGCAGAATTTATATTTGACATTCTCCGTGTTACCTCTCTCTCAGGCCAATATGTTATATCTTAAAGGATTTAGATTTCTCTATAGCAAAAACAACCCGAGTATCTGAGATCAGCCTAGATTATACTATCTGAACTGAAGACTAAATTATCTGCCTCCCATGTAGGGACAGAAACAACATATTTTTAGACAGTGTTTTTTTATTATCTAGAGCAGGGATAGGCAACCTCAGCTCTTTTATGACTCATGGACTTCAACTCCCAGAATTCCTGAGTCAGAGCATCTTTCTCAACCATGGCAGCTTGAAGTTGTGTGGACTTCACCTCCCAAAATTTCCCAGCCAGCATTGGGAAAATGGGAGTTCAAGTGGGTATTGAAGTATACACATCTTCAGGTTACCAAAATTGAACAATTCTGACCCCAGAGAGAAGGATTTTGTAATGGAATAAAAATATTACAAGAATATAGATAGCTACACAAAAGTTATCGGTATTGATTATTGACACCATCTCTTGGGAATTTTTGGCGCATGATCGACCGACATGGCGTACCCTGGTTTACCATGGTTGCCAGACATATGAACACAGAAGGACAATCTTGGCACAAGAGAAGCGAGCACTCCGTAAAGCCAGAGCTGCAAATGCTGAAGCAATAGTGTCCACATTTCTCTGTTCAGTATGTGGCAGAACATTCCGTGCTAACATCGGTCTCATCAGCCATCTACGGACACACCGCTGATGGCCCATAATCCATAAGATGTCAA